AATACCTAGGAATATACTTAAACGAGGAGGTGAAAGATGTCTCCCAGGAGAACCACAAAAAAATGTCTACCAGGAGAACCACAAAATGAAAGAAATCCTAGATGACATAAATAAATGCAAAAACATCCCACACTCATGGATTAGAAGAATCAGTATTGTGAAAGGGACCATACTGCCAAAGCAATCTACAGATTCAATGCAATCTCTAGTAAAATACCAATATCATTTTTCAGAATTGGAAAAAACAATCCAAAATTCACGTGGAACCAAAAAAGAGCCCTAATAGTCAAAGCAATCCTAAGCAAAAAGAACCAATCTGGAGGCATCACATTACCTGACTTCAAATTATACTACAAAGTGATAGTAATCAAAACAGCATGGGAAAAATGTTTTTAAATGAGATCCAGAAAGCATAAATATTACAGGAAAAGATTGCTAAACCCTGAGTCCATTAAGATAAAAACTTTGTTTCATTAAGATAAATCATTTAGGCCGGGCGTGGTGGCTCACGCTTGTAATCCTAGCACTCTGGGAGGCCGAGGCGGGCGGATTGCTCAAGGTCAGGAGTTCAAAACCAGCCTGAGCGAGACCTGTCTCTACTAAAAAATAGAAAGAAATAATTGGCCAACTAATATATATAAAATTAGCTAGGCATTGTGGCGCGGCCTGTATCCCAGCACTCGGGGGCTGAGCAGGAGGATTGCTTGAGCCAGGAGTTGGAGTTGCTGTGAGCTGTGACGCCATGGCACTCACTCTAGCCTGGCAACAAAGCGAGACTCTGTCTCAAAAAAAAAAAAAAAAAAAAAGATAAATCATTTAAAAAGTTAAAATATAAGCCAGATACTTGGCAAAATATTTGCAAATAATATAATTCACAAAGAGTAGTATCCAGATTTTATAAATAATCCAGTAATAAAAAGAATCGGAATAAGTAGTTTAAAGGACAGGAAACCAAAATGTCCAATGAAACGTGAAAAAGTTGTGGTCTTACTGTGATAAAAAGTGCAGTTTCAACTACATCAAGATTGTAAAACTATAGTCATTTCATGCTGCTAGATTGGAATATTTTTAATTTATATAACTGTAATTTATTGGGCATTTACTATGTGTACTTTTCTAAGCACTTTAATCCTTGTTTTATAGATGAGAAAACTAAATTAGAGGGAAGTTAAGGTTACAGTTTTAGAAAGTGGCAGAATAGAATTAGAAAGCAAGAATTATAACTCTAGGGCCCACTGGATGAAATCCATGCCAGAGGTAATAGCACAAATATTTAAGTAGAGAGATTTTGGAGACAGGTTTCACTTACTAGGTGTGAGATCTTGGGTAAGTTATTTAACCTGTTATGTGACTCATTTTTGGCACTTGCTTTCATCGTAGATTGTTAGGAGCTTTAATAATAATTTTAGAATTGTTGTTATTCTGTTGTTACTTTTTTTTTTTTTTTTTGAGACAGAGTTTCCCTTTGTTGCCCAGGCTACAGTGAGTGCCCTGGTGTCAGCCTAGCTCACAGCAAACTCAAACTCCGGGCTCAAGCAATCCTTCTGCCTCAGCCTTCTGAGTAGCTGAGACTACAGGCATGCGCCATCTGCCCGGTTAATTTCTATATATATTAATTGGCAATAATTTCTTTCGATTTATATTGTAGATGACAGGTCTCACTCTTGCTCAGGCTGGTTTCAAACTCCTGACCTCGAGCAATCCGCCCGCCTCAGCCTCCCAGAGTGCTAGGATTACAGGCGTGGGCCACCACACCTGGCCTGTTGTTACTCCTTTAAGTGTGCGTCAAGACGTGATATATAACGGAAACTCTCATATATTTCTGGTTCAGAGTGTAAGTTGGTACACCAACCTAGTACCTTCAACTTCAAAATACCTTTTTGAAAATATCTAGCAATTCAACACCTGGTTACATATCTTAAAGAAACTCTCACACATATTGCCAAGTTGCTGTGCACCAGGATGTTCACTGAAGCATTGTTTGTTTTGGCTGGAAACAACCTCAATGTCCATCAAATGAATAATGGATAAATAAGTTACAAAATTTTCACATAGCAGAAGAGTATATAGTAGATTTTTAAAAATGAACTAGAGCTTCCTTTCAGCTGGGGCCACCATGTTCCAGTAATGACGAACACAAAGGGAAAGAGGAGAGGCACTGGATACATGTTTTCTAGGCCTTTTGGAAAACATATAGTTGTTCCTTTGGCCACATACATGCGAATCTACAAGAAAGGTGATATTGTAGACATCAAGGGAATGGGTACTGTTCAAAAAGGCATGCCCCACAAATGTTACCATGGCAAAACTGGAAGAGTCTGCAGTGTTACCCAGCATGCTGTTGGAATTGTTGTAAATAAAAAAGTTAAGGGCAAGATTCTTGCCAAGAGGATTAATGTGCATATTGAGCACATTAAGCACTCTTAAGAGCCGAGATAGCTTCCTGAAACTTGTGAAGGAAAATCATCAGAAAAAGAAGGAAGCCAAAGAGAAAGGTGCCTGGATTCAACTGAAGTGACAGCCTGCTCCATCCAGAGAAGCACACTTTGTGAGAACCAATGGAAAGAGCCCGAGCTGCTGGAACCTATTCCCTATGAATTCATGGTATAATAGCTTTTTCATTTTGTGAGAAAAGACAGAAAGAAGCCTGAGGTCCTGGGACCTGTTCCCTATGAATTCATGGTGTAACAGGCATAGCACACTTGTGAGAAGCAAAGAAAGGACCTTGAGCTGCCAGAACCTATTCCCTATGAATTCATGGCATAGGAGACAAACCTAATAAAAGCTGCTGGACTCTAAAAAACAAAACAAAACAACAACAACAACAAAATGAACTAGAGTCATGTGGGTGAACATAGGTAAACCTTGAACTATATCGAACAAAAACAATTTGCGGAAAGATATATACAGTGTGATGCTGTTCATATAAAGTATAAAAAGTATGGGAAAAAGTCTATGATGTTCTTTGACGTAAGATTATACAGATTTTAAGGTATCACTAAGAGAAAAAAGTCATAATGAAACTATGATAGGCCAAAAAAAGTCATTATGAAACTACAGGCATGGTGGTGCATGCCTGTAGTCCCAGCTACTTGGGAGGCTAAGGTGGGAGGGTAGCTTTGAGGCTAGGAGTTTGAGACCAGCCTGGGCAACATAGTGAGACCCCATCTCAGAAAATAAAAAAAGAAACTATATTGTTGATTGTAAAATACATATGAGTTTTAGAGATGTAAAAATGTGAAAACAATATTCCTCTTAGAATAGATGAACTATAATATGCTATATACTATTTGTAGATATAGGTTAATATGTGAATGTGCTAAGTAAACAACACCAAAATCAGGATAGGATTATCTCTGTGTAAGAAGTCTGGGGGATGGGATTTGGAAGGGGCACAGAGGAACCTCAACTCTATTTGTTATGATTTGTTTGCTTAAAAGAAAAAAGGGTACAGAAGGCAGAGTTAAGATTCATTAGAGCTGGATTGGGAGTACATAGCTAGATATATTTGTACTTTTCTGTATGGCTGAAATGTCATGACTTTTCCAAAGTTCAAAGTGAGGAAGAGTAGATAATGCAAAGTGGATGAATTTGGCTTGAAAGAGGAAGAGTGATAGAAGAAAGCACAATATTTGGGGAGGTCTTTGTTTAAGTGAGAAATACAGGTATCTTTTGCTCTCTGAACTCTAGCTATGCAAACTCAGAAATGGAATATGTTCTTAAAGATTTTCAAAGAAATCCTTTATTGTCCAAACTTTCTTTTCTTTATCTGAAACTTTGGAACCAGATAGACATACTTAAGAGCCACATATTTCCTGATAGATCAGGAAACGCGAGGAATATTTTTGCTTGAACTTGTTTATATTTGTTTCAAAGAAGCCAACAGAGAAAAGACTGAAAATACAATAAAGTTTCTGAAGGGAAAAGTGTTAAGGATCCAGACTATAGATAGAGTACTTCCTTTGGATAAAAGAAGGGTCACTAACTTCACTTATGTTAGAAAGAATATGATGGGAATATGTTTAAATATAAAAATGTTCTTAGGTAGGGATGTGATACTGACCAAGTATTCTCAATTCATTGTACCCAGTTAGGCCAATATTCTCAATTCATTGTGAGAAGTACAAGGAAAGATCAGGGTCAGCAAGGAGGTAAGGCAGCAAGGTTGGGCTTTTTTTTTTATTATTATTATTATTAACATACTGAGCTGCTACACTAGAAAAAAAAATTTTCCTTGGGACCATGCTGTTTTATTATGAAAATAGAATAAAAACTTTGAAAATGAAATAATCCTTTCTAATTTAATGAAAAATTTGTTATTTTTTAAGTTTTTTCTGTGCATGAGTTACATGCAACTTGAAAAATAGTTCACATGGTTCCCAAAATGAAGAGATGTGTTAGTTACATATGTTTCATTAGGCCCTGGGCTCAATACTAGCATGAGTTAAATACAGCTTACCTGGCAATTAATGTGTGAAACAGTGCTTAGTAGTGGTTGGATTTTTTTATTGTTCAGATTTTTGTATCTTATATTAGTAGAAGTTATTGCTTTTTGAAAATTTACTTGACCTTTGCAAAAGTCACAGAATATACTGAGTGTCCTTAAAATTCCAGACAATGGACTGATTATATAAAACCTAACCTTTGAAAATGTATTATCCGGCCTCAGGCTACTTCCCTAATCTATCCTCTCCAGGCATGGGGGGAAAAATGCCAACACCTAAGAATTTAAGTATATTTCAAAGTTTATAAGTGTTTTTGTTTTATTTTTCATATTGATAGAATGAGAAAAATTTTTATAGTATCTTTATTTTACAGTTTAAGTCTAATACTTTTTTTTAGTACAGAGAAATCAGCTTCTCTTTAATTATTCCTTATAATTAATTAAAGATTATTTTAGAATTTATTCAAATGCAGAGCATTCTTCTTTTTTTTCTTGCCACTCCTCAGTGCTTTAGAGCATTCTTTATTTCTATTTATTATCACTTTTTAAATTTTAGAGCTGAACGACAAAGAAATGAAGCACTATATAATGCTGAAGAGATAAGTAAAGCTTTCCAACAATATAAAGAAAAAGTGGCTGAAAAACTGGAAAAGGTAAGACATAACTGTGCAAAATTTAGTGTTTAATATTACTGTCTATATTCTAAAAATAAAGGTAGATATGACTAGAATATGTATATCTATAGTTGAAGCTGAGAGTAATTTTTATGATCTCATTCATAATAAAATCACTGAATAAAGAATTTATAAGTATTAGTAAAGGATGGTATCCACCAGTCTTTTTATTATCAGCAGAAAGTTTTTTATGTAAAGAAGGAAAAGAGTAGAGAGAGAAGAAGGAACAAAATATAAAGAAAGATGAAGTATGTAAGGAGTTGGTAGAGCTAGAGAAGTAGAAGCAAGAAATTCATTTCCATTACCTCAGTGAAAATGAAGACAGCGTAGATTATGTAACTTTTAAGTTCTTTCCCTTGACCACCACCCAGAGAGGGGCTTGCTTCTTCCTCCCAGAGGGAAGGTTCCTTGAACTGCTTCTATATGGAAATATAGTGACTTTATTACCATGCATGTATTACATTCATTTAATATTTTTAAGTAATACTACACGGTAATGAAATCTGTATGGAAGAATGCCACAAATTGGACATTCAGATATTGAGCTCAGAGAGAGGTCTGGTAAAGAGACACTGATAATGGGAGACTTCCCTTTTGAGATAATAATTAAAGCAGAGGAAATTAATGATTCTGTTTAAAGAAAGGTAGAAGGTCAGAGGAAAGAAGATTTAAGTAGAAAGTTAGAATAAGAAGATTCAGAGTATAAGTAACTAATGAGTGTTCACTTATTAAACACTTATGAAGTTCCTTTTACATGCCAGGTACTATCCTTGTCTCTGGGAGATTCAGTGATACTGTGTTACTCCAAAAATAAGACAGGATCTTATATTTATTTTTCCTCAAGAAGACACCATAGGGCTTATTTTCAGGGGATGTGTTATTTTCCCCTCAAAGCCTCAGCTTGCAGCACGGATGGGATGGCCGGGACCTGACTGGGAGCCAACCTTGTTGGTGCTGCTGCCCGCACCTTTCCAGTCACCTCTGGGATAGTAGCTGTCATGATGGGGCAGATGAGAAGGGCTGCTCATCTTCTTTACCGCTCTGCAAAGAAATGCAAGGGTTATGCAGCTACCCTGTGTAGCCACTCCCATCACTAGGTCTTATTTTCAGGATAAGGCTTATGTTGTGCAAATGCTTAGAAATCGTGCTAGGGCTTATTTTATGGGTAGGTCTTATTTTCGGGGAAACACGGTATATAACACATGACACCTACTCCAAAGAGCTCACAGTCTAGTAAGATTGACTAGTATGTAAACAAATAATTTCAGTATTTTGGAATAAGAAGTATTTAATATAATAAAATAAGTGGTAGGTATGGTAGAGAAGTACAAATGGGGGGAGTAGTAATAAACTCTGATGGGCTCAAAGAAGGCTTTACAGAGTAGGAAATGCTGTGGCCTTACGGCCATATGTGGCCTTCTACATCCTTAAGTGCGGCCTTTTGACTGAATCCAAATTTTACAGACCAAATCCTTTTATTAAAAGAGGAGTAGCAGAGAAAGGTGAAACTTTTCTTGCCTTCTTTGGCGTTTAAAAAAGAACAATCTTGAAATCAGAAGGCCACAGATTATCCACCCCTGTTAGGATATCTCTAAGATTGTGGTATATTATTGAATAGTGTTAAGCAGAGGAAATGATCAAATCTATGTGTTAGAAAGTTCACTCTGATTATCAAGTGAAGATGTATTTGAGAGGTGAGAGACAAGTCAAGGAGACTCTGAAAGACCAGGCAAGAGATATTGAAGATGATGGAATTGATTAAATAGATATGAGAGATGTTACAGTTGGAGAATCAGTGGGATCTAGTGACCACTTAAATATATTAGAAATAGGCAGTAAGAGCGAGAGAGGGAGAAGTATGGGATATCTTTAGGTTTCTGGTTTGAGAGGCTGATGGATGATTGCATCTTGAATCAAAATAGACAGTTTGAGAAAAAAAATATAATGAGTTCTATTTTGGAAATGTCTGGAATATCTAGTTGTAGGTTTCTAACAGGGACTTGTATCTACAAGTCTGGTCTTAAACAATGAAATCTGTACTAGGGATACAGATGTAAGAATTGACACTATTTAAGTGGTAAAAGCCTTAGACATTGACAGAGTTTATATAGAGTGAGAACAGGATGAAGAATACAACCCTCAGAGATAGTTAAAAAAAAAACAGTGGAATAGCTTATGAAAGATATGGAGAGGAAGTGATCAAAAATGCTAGAAAATCAGGAATGTATGATAAGAAAAGCCAGTGTAATAGAGCATCTTTAAAACAAGGTAATTGTTTTCAGTGCCAGATGATGCAAATTGGTCAAAAAAGGATGAGGACTAAGACAGGGCTATTGGTTTTTTGTTTGTTTGTTTTTTGAGACAGAGTCTCACTCTGTAGCCTGGGCTAGAGTGCCTAGGGCACAGCAACCTCAAACTCCTGGGCTCAGGCAATCCTCCTGCCTCAGCCTCCCGAGTACCTGGGACTACAGGCACACACCACTGTGTCTGGCTAATTTTTTCTATTTTTAGTTGTTTGGCTAATTTTCTTTCTATTTATAGAGACAGAGTCTTGCTCTTGCTCAGGCTGGTCTCAAACTCCTGAGCTCAAGCAATCCTCCTGCCTCTGCCTCCTAGAGTGCTAGTATTACAGGCATGAGCCACCATGCCCAGCCCAGTTTTTATAATCAGAGAGTCACTGGATACTTTGTAGAGAGCAACTTTATTAAAGTAGTAGAGACAGAAGGCACATCCTCTGAATTGGAAGAAATGGAAAGGGAGACAGTAGAGATAGCTAACAAACTATTTATATATGGTAGATAAAGAGGAAATAAGGGGAGTGGTGGTGAATAGAAGGGTAGAAAAAAGGTTAAGAAAAAGGGGTTTTAGGACTAGGGATACCCTGAACATATTAGCACATTTGAAGGACAGTAGCCAGTGGAGGGGATGACAGTGGGAGAGTGAAGATGCTGGAAATATGTCTGAGAATGCATTCCAAAGGAAAAAAAATGTGTTGGAATTATAGGGAATAAAAGATGGCATTAAGGTCCTAAAGGATATGTGAGATGATAGTCCAAAAGGAGAGGGGAGATATTTTTTAATAAAATAAGGACATTTCTTTTCCTTATGGGAAAAAGTGGGTAAAAATACAGAAAAAAGGCCTGGTTCTGTGGCTCACACCTGTAATCCTAGCACACTGGGAGGCCGAGATGGGAGGATCACTTGAGGTCAGGAGTTTGAAACCAGCCTGAGCAAGAAAGAGACGCTGTCTCTACTAAAAGTAGAAAAAATTAGCTGGGTGTGGTGGCATGGTGGCGCATGCCTGTAGTCCCAGGTCCTCAGGAGGCGGAGGCGGGAGGATCGCTTGGGCCCAGGAGTTTAAGGTTGCTGTGAGCTATGATGATGCTACTGCACTCTAGCTGGTGTAACAGTGAGACTCTGTCTCACAAAAAGAAAAAAAAAGAGAGAAAAATTTTAGATGGAAGAAAGAAGAATTGAATAATTTTGAGTTAAAAGTCTTTGGTCTCATAAAATAAGATGTTGCTGAGGTGATTTTCATAGCATGATGGTGATAGGAGAGATTTTGGAAACTTGGGTATGAATGTTTTTCATACCATAATTATGATAAGGAAAGTCAAGAAAATAGCTAAAATTTTCAAAGGGAACCTGCAAAAAGAGAAGAGCAGAGTAAAAATGACCAGTTGGTAAAAGGTAGAAAAGAAAATAAGAATTGCCAGAGTCAAGTAAAATACCATCATGATAGCTAAAGGATAAAAGAGTTTAGAGGAGAAGTTATCAACTATGTTAGATACTAAAGTCAAAGTCAGAAAAGTTTGTTTTGTTACAAAGAGGCCATTCCTTTATAGTGAAACTGTAAATACCACTTAATTGGATACAACCTTAAGGCCTCATTAGGTATTGAAATCTTAAGTGTGAATTAGTTAATCAGATCACTGTTTTGAAAGCCTTGGAGAAGGTCCCTGTGGGAATGGAATATCTGAGAAGCAAGTTTTAATAACCTGATCTGCAGGAAGAGGTAGAATACCAAATAGAAGGAATATCCTTGGGGAGAGGGAGGACTTCATGGAGAAAACAGACCTTTCCTTAGGATTATCAGTTTCTGACTGTGCTTAGCAGAGCCCTGTAATTAGGTGGATGTAACAAAGGAATTGGAGCAGATCTGCCCAATCCTGGATTCATCCCTGCACCCTATCCTCCATTCATCCCTCCACCCTGGGTGCTTGACTTTTATCTGTTTTACATTTTGGGCTGCTGTTTCAGTGGGAATATTTTGTGACTAAAATTTCAGAATAACTTCTCTGGAACATTTGCACTGAAACTAGTCTTTAGTAATTTTGATGTGGCATCCCTACATGAATTGCTTGCCTTCTCCATGTTAGGCCAGAACATTTTTGCTTTCAGGTGACAGTGCTATTGTTCACCTGTTAAGGGCTTTTAAGGATTTCTAGACAGGTAGGAGTGTCCCCTTCCTTTCCTTTGTTTTACTGCTCAGGAACTTCATTTTGTTCCCTTTCACTATAAGGCTTGGGACTTAAATGTATGAAATACTTAGTCTACTCTCCTGCTTCTTTCTCAAATCACTACGTACATTTTTAGTTTGAAACACCTAAACTTATGACATTAGTATGTCTACTTAAATTATTGTTTTAGGTTCAAGCTGAAGAAGAAATATTAGAGAAAAACCTGGTTAACTGTGAAAAAGAAAATAAAAGGCTACAAGAAAAGTGTGGTCTGTACAAAAGTGAAGTTGAAATTCTGAAAGAGAAATTAAGGTACAGTATCCTGTTGTAGTAAAACGATTTTTGTGTCAAAATAGAAAAAAAGCTGAAACATTTTAAAACATCATATTTTGTATATCGAAATTATGGGCTTACGTTATATAGAAGGATAGGCTTCATGGCTGAAACTGTCTAGGTATAAAGTTTGAATTATAAGTGAAATATGAGTTCATGCCAATATAGTTGTAAATATAGAGTAATACTGATCGATATATTTGCTTTCCATATATTTAGAGAAAATTAACACAGACATAATGTCCTTATAGTATGACCACATTAGCTAGCTGGCAAAATATGTATGATAACAGATGCTCTAATAAAAATAATTCTTCAAGTCATAAAATATCACCTAGTCCAGACTTCTCATTTTATAAGTGAAGAAACAGAGGCCCAGTGAGTGGCCATTATATATCCAAAGTCAGGAAAAGTTACATCAAGGTCTTCTGATTCCTATACTCTCTCTAGTATATCTCTTGCCCTCTCAGAACTAATCCCTGACAACTTTCAGAGGTTAATGTTAAAAGTTCTTACCACTTCAGACTGTTAATTTTAAAAAATGGGAGTGGGGAATAATTAGAATAAGTTGTTTGTCTAGTTTTTTTTATTTTAGTGTATTATGGGGGTACAAGTGTTAAGGTTACGTATATTGCCCATGCCCCCCGCCCGCCCCCTCGAGGAAGAGCTTCAAGTGTGTCTATCCCCCAAACATTGCACATCTTACTTGTTGTGGTTGTATATACCCATCCCCTTCTCCCCCCTCTCACCCTTCCCAACACCCGATAAATGTTATTCCTATATGTCCACTTAGGTGTTGATCAGTTAATAATTTGCTGGTGAGTACATGTGCTGGTTTTTCCATTCTTGAGATACTTCACTTAGTAGAATGGGTTCCAGCTGTATCCAGGAATATACAAGAGGTGCTGTATCACCATTGTTTCTTAAAGCTGAGTAGTACTCCATGGTATACATATGCCACATTTTATTAATCCACTCATGAATTGATGGGCACTTGGTTTGTTTCCACAGCTTTGCAATTGTGAATTGTGCTGCTATAAACATTCGAGTGCAGGTGTCTTTTTCATAAAGTGACTTTTGATCTTTTGGGGTAGATGCCCAGTAGTGGAATTGCTGGATCAAATGGTAGATCTACTTGTATTGCTTTGAGGTATCTCCATATTGCTTTCCACAGAGGTTGAACTAGTTTGCAGTCCCACCAGCAGTGTAGGGGTGTTCCTCTCTCTCCGCATCCACACCAGCATTTGTTGTTTGGGGACTTTTTGATAAAGGCCACTCTCACTGGAGTTAAGTGGTATCTCATTGTGGTTTTGATTTGCATTTCTCTGATGATTAGAGATTTTGAACATTTTTCATATGTTTGTTGGCTATTATTCTGTCTTCTTTTGAGACGTTTCTGTTCATGTGCTTTGCCCATTTTTGATAAAGTTGTTTGATTTTTTTCTTGCTGATTTCTGAGTCTAAATAGATCTAGTATAAATCAAGAACCCTATATATCAGATGTGATAAGAACTATGCAAAAAATTAATTCTCCCATAATTTGTGAGTGTCTGTATATAGGCTCTCTATACAGATATTCTTTGGCTTGTGCAGAAGCTTTTTAATTTGATCAGGTCCCATTTGTTTATTTTTGTTGCTGTTGTGATTGCCTTTGGGGTTTTCTTCATAAATTACTTTGCACTAAAGTTGATTTTTGTGAGAGGTGAAAGGTGTGGGTCTTGTTTCAGTCTTCTACATATGGCTATCCAGTTTTCCCAGCACCATTTATTGAATAAGGATTCTTTTCCCCAGTTTATGTTTTTATCTGCTTTGTCGAAGATTAGTTGGCTATATGAGGATATGTTTGTCTAGTTTTAACATACTTTCCTTAAGGTAGTACATTTAGTATTTTTGCCAAGTAGAGGGGGTAAAGATCATTTTTATAATAGTTACCTTAACTAGAGCATTTTCTAGAATCCGATATTACTGGTTGCAACTCACACTTTTAATAAAGAAAAATACTTCTAATTACACTATGATATAGTGCTTTATCTCTTAAATTTTTGTTTTATACTTTACAAAAGAATTCCTAATTATACTTAATTATACTTAATTAGACATGATTTCTTAAATCATGTTACTTTTTTACAAAAAGGAAAATATAAGTGAAATAAATTGATTAAAATATTCTTAAAACTTCAAATTTAGAATCTGACCCTTCTAAAATGTCCCTGTTTTTCAACACAGTGTCTTCCTCTGTGCCATCAAGAATGTTGCTGATGCAGTATTTCTTAAAAGAACCATTACAAGAACAAAAAGTCATTGATGCTGTGCCCTAAAAACCGACTTCACAATTATATAGTGCCAATTTTGTGTTATTGTTGTTGAGACAGAGTTTTGCTCTGTTGCCCAGGCTGGAGAGCAGTGGTGTGATCATAGCTCACTGAAACCTTGAACTTTGGGGCACAAGCAATCCTCCTGGCTTAGCCTCCTGAGTAGCTGGGACTACAGTATATGCCACCACATGCAGCTAATTTTTCTGTCCTTTTTTTTCTTTTTTGTATAGATAGAGTCTCTCTATGTTGCTCAGGCTGGTCTCAAAGTCCCCTTCTCAAGCGATTCTCCTGCCTCAGCCTCCCAAAGTACTAGGATTACAGGCTTACACCCCCATGCCTGGTGGCTTTTGACTTCTGTTTTAGAAATCTTGCTATATATCTGATTTAACACATATGCCACTCCTCCCCACAAGCATTTGCTTCTCTGAGTTCCAAGTGCTCCATTGTTATCTCCTGATTTTTCTTCCCATTTACATACACCAATTCTGCTAGTTTTACTGCAGGTTATTTTGATGTTTACATATACATAGACAATGAAACTACATTGCAACTGCTTAGCTGACAGCTCTTTTAAGGAACTATTGATAATTCCAATTTCAGTGATGTGAAAAAGTGAACTGATGATGCATTAACAGTTCTAAGCATAAGATTGTTTTAATATTTGGCATGTTTTTATAGATGTGTATATTCAAAAATATTACTACCTAATAATCTGTTAATGGTAGATTAGACTTTAACTTATAGAGTTCATGATTTTTCCTTATAGTCTCCAAAACTTGATGCTGCACGATACTGTGCTGGGAATTTTGGATTTAGATCCTGTCTTACACATTTTAAGCAGAGTAGAAATGCTTCCAAGATAGTAGAACTGTCTTGCCCTACTGTTTTCTGTGAGACACTGGGAAAGTTACATTACCTTTTTTTTTCTTTGAGACAGACTCTCACTGTGTTACCTGGGCTAGTGTGAGTGCCGTGGCATCAGCCTAGCTCACAGCAACCTCAAACTTCTGGGCTCAAGCAGTCCTCCTGCCTCAGCCTACCAAGTAGCTGGGACTACATGCATGTGCCACCATGCCAGGCTAATTTTTTCTATATAGTTGGCCAATTAATTTCTTTCTATTTTTTTTTTTAGTAGAGACAGGGTCTTGCTCTTGCTCAGGCTGGTTTCAAACTCCTGACCTTGAGCGATCCTCCTGCCTCGGCCTCCCAGAGTGCTAGGATTACAGGTGTGAGCCACTGTGTCAGGCCTACATTACCTTTTTAATGCCTCAATTTCCTTATCTATGAAAAGGAAGTAATAATAATGCCAACCACATAAAGTCATGAGTACCTGGCATGCAGAAGAAAGTAGGCACTCAGTAAATGTGAGCAGATATTGTTTCAAAACATTTAAAAAGTGAGATTAACTAAATATACTTATTGAAAATGAATGCATATTTTCTTTTCTTTCTTTCTTTTTTTTTTTGCGACTCTGGTGGGACTCGAACCCACAACCTTTTGAACTAGAAGTCCAGTGCGCTTTCCAGCATATTTTATTTTCTTCATAGGCAGTTAAAAGAAGAAAATAACAATGGAAAAGAAAAATTAAGGATCATGGCAGTGAAAAATTCAGAAGTCATGGCACAATTAACTGAATCCAGGCAAAGTATTCTGACACTACAGACTGAGTTAGAGGACAAAGATGAAATACTTAGAGAAAAATTTTCTCTAATGAATGAGAACCGAGAATTAAAGGTCCGTGTTACAACACAAAATGAGCGACTGGATTTGTGTCAACAAGAAATTGAGAGTTCAAGGGCAGAACTGAGAAGTTTGGAAAAACTTATATCCCAGTTGCCAGTAAGTATGTATGAAAAGAAATGTACTATATTTGATTATATAATGGAAGAGAAACATTTTACTGAAGTGTTTTTAAAAAGACCATCATTTTGTCATCGCTTAGTAGCTTCTTTTCTTACCTGTCTATGCTTTTAGTCATCAATTTCTTTTCTATATAATCTCTATTTTTTCCCCTGTACTTACCATTCTACTATACCACCCTTTCTCTGTCTCTTAGGTGACATATATAAGAATGGCACAAAATTATTTTTAAAAAGTTTTATTGAGGTATCATTTATATATCATACATTAACCCATTTTAAATATGCTAGTCCATGAGGTTTTGGAAATTTACAAGTTTTGTAAAAATCACCATAATCTAGTTTTTGAACATTTCTGGCATCCCCAAAAGATAACTTGTACCCATTTATAATTAGTCCCTGTACCCACATCCACCTGTAGAAAGTCACTTATAGTGTTTGCCTCTAGAGATTTGTCTTTTCTGGACATTTATATTCATGAAATCATATAATATGTGGTCTTTTGCATTCTTAATGTTTTTGAAAGTCATTCATGATGGGACATATATCAGTATTTCATTTTTTTATTGCTAAACATTTCATTGTATAGATATACCACATTTTATCCATTTATCATTTACCAGTTGATGAACATTTGGGTTTTTTCCACTTGTGGGTTGTTTTGAATAATGCTGCTATGAAGTCTTTTGCTTTTAAGTCTTTTTTTTTTTTTTTGAGAACCAAAGTTTCTCAGGAATGCTTACAGATCTTTGTGTGGACATATTTTCATTTCTCTTGGGTACATACCTAGAAGTAGAATTATAGGATTGCTGGGTCATATGGTAAATTTATGCCAAACTTTTCTAAAAATGTCTACACCATTTTACGTTCTCACCAGGAATTTATGAGGGTTCCTGTTTTCCCACATCCTCACCAATACTTGTTATTGTCTTATCTTTTTTATTATAATAGGCCATCTCAATGAATGTGAAGTGGTATTACCTTGTGGTTTTAATTTGCGTTTCCCTAATGGCTAATGTCAAGCAACTTTTTATGTACTTATTAGAATAGCATAGAATTTTAAAATGTTTTTATGATAATGGTCTGCCACCCTTTCTCTTTGAGTTATATATGTGACCATTTAGGTAAATGAGATTAGGAAGAAGGTAACTATACCTGTGTCAGGAATTTGTTATCAATAGCTGTAAAATAAAGGTAAGATCAAGGGAAATCTAGAGATAAAAATGTTGTGATTGGTTTCACATATGCATGTATGGTAGACTCTATGATAAAATCTTACCAATATTAAACTATTATTAAACATGGAATTATGAACCAAAAAGAGATCTCAGAAATCATCTGATTCAATACCATCATTTTATTGGTAAAGAAATCTAGATCCAAGGAAGTAAATAACTTACCCAACTAGCAAGTAGCAGAATTTAAACTAAAACATATGAATATTAGCTCTTCTGTTATATCTGCTTTCCTAGGATGCTGTTTATTAGCTTAGATTTTTAATATACTGTTTGCTTTTGAAATTAGAAAGTAATTATGTGCAGATAGCAGTTTTAAATTGACATTCTCATTTGTGCTCAGTGTCAAGAATTATTTGATATATGATTCTGAAAGTGATGTGGTAATATTGCTTGATCGTATGTTTCATACAGTGCTAAGAATGATATGATTAGGAAATGTGATTTTTTTTTAATTTCTAGAAGGTGTGATTTGGTTATAGTTTGAAGGTAGTAGTCATTAAGTGTTTTACTTGCTCCTCTTAATATCCATTTCTTTAAATTATATATTATTCAAACATACAGAAAAGTATAGAGACCAGTCTAACTAAGCATTTGCAAAATCTAGGATATATACTGCCCAGCTTTAAATTTTTTTAGAATCAAATTTTACAGATAAAGCTTCTTAATGTATGTTGTCAGATCCCAGTTCTCTTCCTCTCTCCTCAGAAGTAGCAACTATTCTGAAATTCATGTGTATCCTTCTCATCCATGTTTTAAATATTGTCACATATATAGATGCATCTAAAAATAGTATATTCTGTAGTATATTTTAAAAAATACTAAGTTTGCCATTGTAATTTGTTTTTGACCCAATATTATTTTATAAGATATATCTATATTGATTTATATAACTACTCAGGTTTATCTTAACTGTTGTAGTTTTTCCATTATATTAATATTTCATAATATATTTATACATTCTCCTATTGATGAACCTTAGGTTGTTTTTATGAAATTTATATAATTTTTCATACTTGGAGTTACTAATAAAAAGCAATTGCATTTCACTTGCATATTAAAAGTTTATATATGTTTGTTTTTAAACTTACAGTTAAAAAGAGAAATATTTGGTTTTAAATCATCTCTTTCTAAGTACCAGATGAGTAGTTTGTCAAAAAAGGAGGACAATTGCATTGGCTGCTGTGAGGCAAATAAATTGGTGATTTCGGAATTGAGGTATAATTTTCAGATTCTGAAGTAGCAAATAGAAATGTTTTTTAACGGTAATTAAATTGAGATCTTTAATTTAGAAATTAAAAAAATATACAGACAAATCCAGAGGGTGTTATAACAAATGCCTGTGATTCCACTACTAAGAATTGATTCTTCTTGACATTTTGTGATATATGTTTCAAATCTGTTTCTCTAAATAAAAAATAAAACATTACAGGATGGATAATACCTGTTGATCCTTACTGCTAGTCCCATTCTTCCCCTACGTATCCAAAAGACGAGATGTGTATTTTTCTGCCATTTTGAATATGTTTGCCTTCACACACACAAATGTAAATGTACTGTATGTTTACATTGTTTGTAATTTTGCTTTTTCACTCAGCACCATTTTAAATATTTATCCGTATTGAGATAGAGTCATTGATCCATGGATGTATTTGTGTGGTTAGTTTAGATTTAGTAGCCATGTAGGATTATATCCTATAACTATGTCACTATTAATTTATCTATTCCTTTATTGATAGTTACCTTGTTTCTAGTTATTGTCCATTACACATAGTGCTGTAAGAAGCAGTCCCCAACCTTTTTGACAGTGGGGACTGGTTTCATGAAAGACAGTTTTTCCATGGACCTTGGGAGGTTGGGTGGGGGCGGCGTCACTGCCTGGAATCATTAGGTGTTGGATTCTCATGGGGAGTGAACAACCTGGATCCTGTGCATGTGCAGTTAGCAGTGGGGTTTGCAGTCCTGTGAGGGCCTGATGTCCCCTCAGATCTGCCGGGGGAGGGGGGGGCGGGAAGGGGGTAGTTTGAGTGGTGACAGAGTGATGGAGGACCTGCTGTGGGTTCAGGTAGGGCTTCCCTAGCTCACTGCAGCTCACCTCCTGCTGTGCGGCCTGGCCAGCCCTTGAGTTGGGGACCACAGCTGTAAAGAATATCTGTATACATGTTTCCTTGTACATCTATATAAGAGTTTCTCTAGTGTATATTCTTAAGAGTGAATTGCTGGGTCATAGAACATCTGCATTTTCAATTGTACTAGGTACTATCAAGTTTGTAAAGTGGCTGAACCAATTTATAGTCCTACCATGATATATAGAAGTTTCCATATCCTGCCTAAGAATTGAAAAATGTCACAATTTAAAAATTTTTACCAACTTAAAAAAAAATAGTACAGTAAGAGATATTTTCTAATATTCTTTTGCTTCTTTTCTTTTGTGCCAGGATTAAGCTTGCAATAAAAGAGGCAGAAGTTCAAAAGCTTCATGCAAACCTCACTGCAAGTCAGTTATCTCAGAGTTTTATTACTTTTAATGACAACCAAGAAAGTAGCAAATTAAATAGTTTAGAAGCAGAACCTGTAAAACTAGGTGGCAATCAAGTAGGTAAGTATAGTATATTGAATTGTTTTAATAAATTATAATCAGTTCTTGATGGTTTTTTAAAGAACTGGATTATCACTATTTGCTTTCTATTATCAAATATACTCAATAATGTGTTATTACTAGTTATGGGCTGATAAGACAGCAAAAATTATTTTAGAAACCTTGGACTTTGCATCATTCTTTATAGTTTATTGAAATGAAATTTACATTCAATCAGATGTACCCATTTAAAATATGCAGCTTGATAAGTTATATCACATATTTATTTTTGATATGATTATACTCTTGTTACCAATACCACATTCAAGACATATCTCTATCAGAATTCTCTTATACTCCTTCCCAGTTTACTTTAGGTTTAATTTTCTTTTTTTTTAACTTTTATAAAGTTAAAAGTTTAGGTTATTGATATTAGGTCTCTTTTCTTTTCTCATCTAAGTATTAAAAGTAAAAACTTCTCCGTAAGCAATGTTTTGACTGTATGCTACTAATTTTAATTTGTTTCATATTCATTTTCATTTAGTTAAAAATACCTCAATATCCCTTGTGATTTCTTTGACTCATAGGCTGTGTTTATTTTATTTCCACATATATGGAGATGTTCCAGATACTCTTGTGCCATTAGTGGTAGTCAGAGAACATACTCTATATGACTTCATTTTTTAAAAGTATTTTGAGACTTCGTTTATTGGCCAATCTATGGTCTATCTTGGTGAATGTTCTAAGTGCACTTGAAAAAATTGTGCATTATACAGTTATTGGTTGGAGTATTTTTTGAATGTCAACCATGTTAAGTTGGTTGATGGTAAGTGTGTTTAAGTCTTGTTTATCCCCAATATTTTATATGTATTCATCCTATCGATTACTGATATAGTAGAATTGAAATCTTCGGGTATATATGTGGGTTTGTTCATATTTCTACTTTTGTCATTCTTTGCTTCTTGAATTTAAAGATGATATATATATACATAAACTTGAAAATTGTTACATCTTCTTGTTGAATGGACCCTTTTATTATAATAAATTTCTTTCCCTCCGTTTCCTGCCTTTTTGTGTCCCTGAGTGGGCTCAAACCTTTTTAATTCCTGGTAATATTCTTTATTCTGAAGAGTACTTTGAAATTAATATAGCCTCTTCAGCTTGTTTTGATTAGTGTTTGCCTGCTATATTTTCTCCATCCTTTTAATCTGTGTCTTTATATAGAAAGTGAGTTTCTTATAGAAGGCATGTAATTGAGTGTTATTTTTATATCTAAGCAGACATTTTTTGCTTTTTTCATTAGAATGTTTAGATTACTTACATTTAATGTAACTATTGATCTTTTTGGATTTAAATCTACCATCTGGTGTTCTACTTCACTTTTTTTTTTGTGAGACAGATCTCGCTTCTTGCCTAGGCATAGATGATGCCGTGGCGTCAGCCTAGCTCACAGCAACCTCAAACTCCTGGCTCAACCGATCCTCCTCCTCATCTCCGAGTAGCTGGGACTACAGGCACAAGCCACCATGCCGCTGATTTTTTATATATATAATATAATATATAATATAACTATAATTACTATATAAATATATATAATATAATAAAATAAAATAATATATTATATATATATAAATATATATATATATATTAGTTGGCCAATTAATTTCTTTATTTTAATGTAGAGACGGGTCTCGCTCAGGCTGTTTTGAACTCCTGACCTTGAGCAATCCCCGCCTCGGCCTCCCAGAGTGCTAGGATTACAGTCTATTCCATTTTATTCATCTTTCCTGCCGCCTTTTGCATCAAGAATATTTTAGCATTCAATTTTTTTCTCCACTATTTTTTTATAGAGCAGGGTCTTGCTCTGACGCCAAGCTAAAGTAACTAGTGAGATCATAGCTCACTGTAACTTTGAACTTCTGGCTCAAAAATTAAAAACTTAGCCAGGCATGGTGGTGTGTCCTGTAGTCCCACCATGCTTGACTACTTGGGAGGAGGCAGGAAGATGCTTGTGCTCAGGAGTTCAAGGGTGCAGTGAACTATGAAACCACTCACGCTAGTCTGGGCAACAAAGTGAGAACCTATCTCATAAGAAAAATTGTAGAGGAGGCGTATTGCCGTTTTGCCATTTTGCCAAGGCGGTCCAAACTCCTGGCCCCAGCAATCCGCCTGCCTTGCTCCACAAATGCTGGATCAGGTGTGAGCCACCATCCCTGCCTTTTTCTCTACTATTGATTCATTACTATACTTTTTAGTTTATTATTTTAGTGGTTGCCCTAGGTAACAATGCATTTTAGCTTTCATATCTGTCTTCAAATATAGTGCTGTTACACAGGATGACAGCAGAGAAATTGAAATCTAAGTGATAAGAGAGAATAAGAAGAAAATGATAGGATTAGCAGAGGGAGTACTAGTATTTATATTAGAGGCAGTAGTATATACATAAATGCTATTGATTTTCTGACATCAAAGAAGAGAGCTGGTGAAAGATGATAGCCTATAATGTGATGTAGAGAATTGAGTAATGCTGCTATATACAACCTTGAAGGCAAACACATCTCTACTTGTTTCTATATCTGTGGCATTCTCATGTAATCACCTACTTATAACTCATTAAAGCATCTCTGAAAGCCAGTTACCTGAAGTGGAGGTATATATAATATAGGTTATATGTGAGAAAGAGCATAGTCAAACATAACCTTCAGTAATTTCAAAGCATTGCTGAATTCTCATTAGCTATTTAGAGAGAAGGAAGATGGACTAGAAAAGTCTGTTTAGCTTTGAACCGCTGATCTACATACAGTACATAAAATACTTCTTATTTTTTATTTTTTATTTTTTGAGACCAGCTCACTTGGCACTCAGGCTAGAGTACAGTGGTGTCATCAGTAGCTCACTGCATTCTCAACTCCTGGGGTCAAGTGATCCTCCTGCTTCGCCTCCAAGTAGTAGACTACAGTGTGTGCACCATGCCTGACCAATTTTTGTAGTTTTGTAGAGACAGGTGTCACATTGTTGCCCAGCCTGGTCTTGAACTCCTGCCTCAAGCAATCTTGCCTTGCCTCCAAAGTGCTAGATTAAGGTGTAAGCCTAGCCCCATAAAAATATCTTAAAATCTCAAGTTGTCCAAATAAATTTATGATTAACTTCAGTTTAAGGAAAGAGATAACTTTAAAAACATTTATATGATTTCTATCCAAAAAGTGGAATTATAAAAGATGGGAAGAACTCTTAAATTTCTGGTACAAAGGAATAATCTTAGCTATCTAAAAAGTGACTGATTCAAAGAAATTTCCTTTTTGTTATATTATATTTAGAAAGTATTGTTCTTTAATTATATTTTCGTATTGTATGTCTCATCTCCATACCTTTATATTCTTAAATGAGAAATTAAACTTTTTATGATAAATTTTCCAACTATTTAAATAGGTTTTATTCTTGAAGTCTTATTCAGAATACTTTCCTTCATGTTTATGCAGAAAGTATAGAATCAAAATCACATACTGTGAACAACAATATGAAAGAGAGAGGCAAAGACTTGCTATTGGAATAAAGAACTACGTACTAAGCTGATACAAATAGAAGCTGAAAATTCTGATTGAAGATTAACATGGCTCACAGAACTAGTCAGTTTCAGTGATTCAAGAGAGCTACTAGAGAAAGCTTCGAACTCTAGCAAACTAGAAAGTGAAGTAGCTTGAATTAGCTGGGTATATTGTATATTTTGAGATAGAAAATTATTGTTATAGGCTCTATAAAAATTATGTTTAAGTCCAATTTATAAGTTCAAACAAAAGGTACTCTCATGAGTACCATGGTACTCTCATGAGATAATGGTTATAAAATGGTACTCTCATGAGTTATAAATTCTTTTAACATTATATTTGGAACCTTTTTTTTTTTTTTTTTTGAGACAGAGTCTCGCTGTGTTGTCCAGGCTAGAGTGAGTGCCGTGGTGTCAGCCTAGCTCACAGCAACCTCAAACTCCTGGGCTCAAGTGATCCTCGTGCCTCAGCCTCCTGAGTAGCTGGGACTACAGGCATGCGCCACCATGCCCAGCTAATTTTTTTTTTATAATATTATAATATATATCAGTTGGCCAATTAATTTCTTTCTATTATAGTAAAGACGGGTCTCGCTCTTGTTCAGGCGCTGTCGAACTCCTGACCTCGAGCAATCCGCCCGCCTCGGCCTCCCAGAGAGCTAGGATTACAGGCGTGAGCCACCGCGCCCGGCCAACCTTTGTGTTTTAACCTATGTTAAAAGTAGAAAAATATTCTCTAATGATCTAAAAGGTCTCAAATTTGGTGAAACTAATACTGCATTGCAGTCTATTGTTTCTTCTGCATTTTAAGTTAATATGGTTAATAAATGTTTGTAAGTAAAAGAATTTGGATTATGTAGTTGGAAGAAAAAGAGTGATAATAGAAGATTTCAAATTTTATCAAACTCAGAACCATCTATGAAGCCTGTTAAACATGTAGATTTCTGGGTCCTGTTCCAGCAATTCTGATTCAGAATATATGGGATATAGAATCTCCAGTTTTAAACAATGGCATGTGAGTTTGATACAGATATGTTATGAATTACATTCTGAGATGGACAGTGTGTGTATTGTGAATATATGGTCTCTATTTTCACTGAGGAAAGGGCAAGTATGCCTGATTAGGTGATTGCAGACCAGGACAAGATGTGTATATGTTATGCTCAACCTGTAAACCAAGGGAGGCAGTCAGCTATAGCGGCACTTATTAAATGTCTGCCTTTTCATCTAAAACTCTATATCCAAGGAAAAGACCTGTGGGATAGAAACTTACGTTAATCATGGAACAGGAGATTTTAGGCAGTGTCTAATTATAGCTAGTAGCTTACTTAGAAAATTGTCAAGTACTGAGATTAATAACTTTTTTATAATTATAAAAATACCATCTTGTAGAAAAAATGAAAATACAGAAAGGGAAAAGATGAAAATAAACTATTGATAATTCTGTTGCTAGAAATAACTGCTGTTAACATTTTAT